TTCCTTATATAGAGAACAAATCTGTGGCCAAATCCTTGAAAAAAAAAAAAAAAAAAGAAAAGAAGAAAAAAAACGAAAAACAAAAAGAGAGAGAAACAAGCAACACAATTCTGTGGTTGGAATTCCTTGTATAGAGAAGAAATTGGTGGCCAAATCCTTAAAGAAGAGGGAATCCTACTCCAGTAAAAAGTTGGAAGAAGGAATTCTACTACAATAAGGAGTTGGAAATTTTCTTTGAATTCTGTTGAAACAAGGAAATAGCAATTTAGTTTATTCCTTCCTAAGTTAGGAATCCTACTACATTAAGGAATAGTGAAGTCAATTCCTACTAGGAAGTGCTTGAACTGATCTGTTCGTTTTAATTTGTTTGGGTTGGTTCTTTTATTGCTTTTCTTGGTCGTTCCTTTGTGTCTTTCTGTTTCCTTTAACTGTTGCAGATTTGTTGAAGTTAGATTGCTGCAAAATAACTTGAATTTAGCTTGTTTAGTTCAATAACGAACTGAAAGAGGAAAGTTGAGTGAGGGAAAAAGGCAAGAGGTGTGAGCAACACTTGAGAGAAAAGCCAAGTTCTACAGTGTGCGAAACACGAGTGTTAAGTGCCATTCTGTGAGAGAGTGGAGTGAAACACATAAGGGTGTGTTGTGAGGTCCTTTTATTTTCTGTTTCTAACATTCCTTGCAGGTTTCAATCATGTCAAGCGGTGATGATAAAAAACACCAAGTGGATGATCCCTTCATGCTCAAAGCTATGCCACAACAATTTCAGAGGCTAGACATCATGTTTGGTGAAATTAAAGACAAAATGGAGAAGCAAGATGCAGCCATTGCCAAGTTATACCAAATACATAATGGAAGTTCAAATTTGCATGATCACAATCTTGATGACAATGATGAAGATGCATTCAACAATGATGCCCAGAACTCAAATTTCAGCATGGACAGATTTATGAGAGGTAGAGGGGGTCAAAGATATAGATTTAACAAAGGAGACCAAAAGCTGGCTAGGTGGGGAGATCGGCAAGATCATGACTTAGGCAGCATCAAGATGAAGATTCCTCCATTTCAAGGCAAAAATGATCCAGATGTGTATTTGGCATGGGAAAAGAAGGTGGAATATGCCGTTGATGGAGAACTGCTTGTCACTAGGCGAGCTTTGAATGTGCAAGCCAAAGAAGATGATGAAGTACAACGTGACAATATATTTCACAGGAGGTGCCATGTTAAAAACAAGGTATGTAGTGTGATTATTGATGGTGGTAGTTGCACTAATGTAGCTAGCACTGTTTTAGTTGAAAAGCTTAATTTACCTATGATGAATCAACCAAGGCCATATAAGCTGCAGTGGTTAAACGATTGTGGAGAAATCAAGGTAAATAAGCAAGTTCTGGTTTCATTCTCTATTGGACGATATAAGGATGAGGTACTTTGTGACGTGGTTCCTATGCATGCTGGGCATTTACTTTTGGGGAGACCATGGCAATATGATAGGAGAGTAACACATGATGGCTTCAAAAATCGCTATTCATTCATCATGGAAGGGAAAACAATTACTCTTGTGCCATTGAGTCCAAGGCAGGTTTATGAGGATCAACTGAGACTGAAAAACATTGAGTGAAGAATAGAGCAATATGCAAAGCAAGCCAACAAGGGGCATTCTGATGAGAACCCCAAAGAGAACAATGAGACCCACAACACGACAAGGGATTTCTAAACTC